GAGGATCCCGTCCTCTCGGCGCGTCTGACGGGGGCGGATCGCTCGCAGGCGCATTTTCTCCGCGCGCAGGCGTATTTTTCGCTCGGGGAGATGGCCGCCGCCCTCGCGGATTTGCACACCGCGGCGGAGCTCCAGATGGGGTTGGGGAGCCACCCCGTCTTCAACTACGCCCTCGGCGTGGTGCTCGCGAATCAACGGGAGTGGATGAGGGCGAGGGAGGCCTTCACCGCCGCGATCCGCGCCGCCGAGGCGGAGGGGAGGAGGGGGTCCATTCTCATTTTGGCGTTTCACGAACGGGCGAAAACGCGGCAGCTCCTCGGCGACGCGCGCGGCGCGCTGGAGGACTTCAACGAGGTGATTCGCGCGCAGCCAGATAACCGACATGCGTTGATTCGCCGCGCCTTCGCGCTGAAGGTGCTCGGGCAGTTTGAGACCTCCTCGCGGGATTGGCAGCGCGCGAAGAGTCTCGACGGGGCCAACGACGCGAATCGCGCGACCTTGGACGAGGCCTGGATGAGATTCGAGATTCCCTTTGTCGAACTGTGTTTACCTGGTGAGGAGGACTCGGCCGTGTAGAACCAAGACGAGGAGGTGGAGGAGGAATTGGGAGGGTTGTCTGATTCATTTCTTTATTTTTTTATTTGGCTTTCTTATTCCTCAAGCTCCATGCAGTTGAGATGTAAAAAAGAAAAAAAGAAAAAGGAAGAGGACTGCGTTTGGATGATTGCACGTGTACATTACTATTTCTCTTTGCCTATCTTTTCGACTTTTAAATGTAATTCTATCAGGAGCCCGTGTAGGTGTGTGCAACATACTCCTTATGCTCTATGCTGTTTAGATTCGAGCATGCCTTCGTCGTTTCATCCATATACCTTTATTTCCTTTTGTTTTTTTTTGTAGCCGGAGGGATATTATTCGTGTTCTCACCGCATCCCCCCTCTTCCCTTCCAGTGTACGGGGGAAGAGGGGTTAAGGTATGCTGCAAATGGCGTTTCTTTTCAAACCGTCAATTTTTAACGCGGCTACATGTGTAGAGCGTCGCAGAGGAGATGAGTAGTCTAGGGGGGCAGTAGCAGCTGCACAGGGTGAGGAAAAAAAAGTCAAGGGCGCCGGATTCAATAGCAAGGTTTGTGGGCTTTATTTTTTCCGTTTAAACTGTGGGTTGCGCTTCCCTGGGGGTATGTCATTGCCTTTTTTTCTCATCATTTATCATCCTCTCCTTAAATATCCCCTCCGTACAGCCACAAAATCCTATGATAGACGCTATGTGTCTTTCCCATACATGGTATCGATGAATTTATGTGTTTGTAGAGTCATTGAGCTGCCATCATCTGTTCTTCGCGTGAATCGATCATTTCAGATATCTGCTTGCCTTTTCCCTGCTTTCGCTCCTGTTAATTACCCCCCCCCCCCCTCCAAAAAAAAAAAAAACAAAATCAATAAGGAAGAACAAATCATTAGGATTATCCCATGGCGGACAACGCCGCATTCCAGCTCGATAATCTAGAAGATCTGGAATCAATCGAGCTCAGCGATGAGTTCATAAGGGAGAACATGGATCATTCCTCCTTCAAGGAGGATCATTTTCGTCAAACTCTTAACAGCTTGTGTGAGTCCTTTGTGATGTCTTTTCTTGGCGATGAGGGTGTCAACCTCGTCTTGCTTTACAATTTCTTCAAAGAAAGCTCCACCGTGTTGACAGATATCCAGAAAGTCCTTCAGGCTTTCATTTCTCAGTTGGATTCTATCCAGGCCGATATCGGGTCCGTGCGGGAATCCCTTGTCTCGAAGGGTACCACGCTCAAGAACATTCTCTCCACGGAGGCTATTCTCTCCTCGGCGATCTCGCGGCTGGTGATCCCGCCGGAGGTGGTTCAGGTGATCACGCAATCCAACGAGCAGCAGCTGGGGACGCAGTTCAAGCATTGCGTGAAGGAGCTTCTCCGCTATCTGCAGCATCGCGAGGCGGTGTGGAATTACCCCGCCGTGGCCGCGTGTAGTCGTCAAAGCAGTAAAGACGCCGAGAGTTTCTCACACGACGAGGAACCTCCCAACAAGCAAGAGATGCACATTCCCTTTACCGAGTGTCGTGTGTATAACGATCTGATGAACTTTATGGACTCCTTGACGCTCTTTGCATGCTGGAAGATTAAATCCTTCCTTTCTCACAAGCTCCAAGTCTTAACGATAAAAGGCACGAATATATGGATTCAGCAGGAAAACGTTCTCAAGCCTTTTTCCTTTTACGTCTACTTTCTCCAGCATGCCGCGTCGTTTCTGAGTCGTCGCCTTCCTCGCTCCCTCTCTGCCACGGCCGCAAGAAGCCACTCAAAAAGCGCCGCCCCTCTCTACCCACTCGTCCGCCACCTCTACGAGGAGTTCAGGGCGGAATACCGACAGATTATGCTTCGCCTCTATTTAAAACGCGTTCAGGATTACGTCCTGACGTGTCGTTTGATGGAGTTCACCACGATGCTGCCTGAGCGTGCGAAGGCAGCAGAGGGGGATTCCTTCTACGCCCTCCCCCTTCTCACCGCCCCTGCGGCGGCGTGCGCGCCGGAGCTGCTTCGTTTAGGAGGTCGGGGTGAAATTTTTCGTCGTCTCTTCAGTCCCCCGTTGATTCCGGTCGTGGAGCGGGCGAATCATCGCCGGCATTCTTATGAGGAGACGTTTCGCTCGATATTAAGCGTCATGTGCGATATCGCCACCCATGAGTACCTCTTTACCTGCGATTTTTTCAGTGGAGATGCGCTCGTCTTCGTGGAAGTTTTTTGCCCCGCGATTCAGTTCGTCGTTGACTACGTCGCGGAGGTCGTTCTTTCTCAAGGCAACGGCGAGGTGCGGCAGATGCTCGACGGCAAGTCCAGCCCATTCATTCATGAAAACGTCGAGGAGGATACCTATGGGCTTCTGATCATGATCCGTCTATGTTATGAATTTCGATCCATGATGCGGCATGTGCGCAAGCTCTACTGCCTAGATGGCTTCTTTGATTCCCTGCTGCGGCTTTTACTGCCCGTGTACAAGGAAAATCTTGAGAAGCAGTTTGTTGCCCTTCGCGGTGTGGAGCCGATGGTGCTCGCTCAGGCGATGTCGGTGCTGCCATCCACCGAGGCGAAATTGAGGGAGGTTCATCCCCTCGTGAAATCGTTTACGGAGTTTTCCTGCGCTATTATGAGTCTTCTACTAGGCCTGCTTGTTAGCGAGGAGCGTCTTCGTGCGGAGGACGAACTGCATCGGGATAAGCTCCTAGGAGGGAGGCTCCCAGAATCGGATATGTCCTCCTCGTTTGGCATACAGACTGGAAAAGCCTCCCGTACGCAAGGCACGACTGGCGATTCGTTTGACGAGTTGCGGGAGTTGGCACTCCAACGTTTTGCGGAGGAGGAGGAAAGTGAGGCGTCCGATATCATAAACGAATTTATGATGTTAGTTAGCAAGCTTGAATTTATCCGACAGAGTATGATCCAGCTGTTTCAGAATCTCAGTCGGTGTATTTTAGCAGATGAAAAGGATGCCTCCGTGCGCGATCATTTGGAACCTCTTCAGAGCTGCTATATGCTAAACAATATTTTTTATATTCTTCAACAGTACCATCAGCACCAAATCATTTTGAGTGAAACAAATCCAACTGAGAGCATCGAGGAGGATGGGATGGTGCAGGCATTAAAAGGTGAAGAATTTCTTCCGCTGGATACGCGAGATAACTTTCAGGACCTCAAATATACCTATCTACGCTATCGCGCAGAGTTTGTTGAGAATATGATTCGCAAGCACCTGCCTGCTTTCTTTGCTGTTATACAGAACGGCGAAAGCTGTTCTGTCAACGAGATCAAGGAGGCCACGGACAGCTTCATGCTGTCTTGGCAAGATGCGCTTGATAGCATTGTGAAAACTGTCCATCGACTGATCTCCGATCCGGTAAACGCGCAGCAGATCGCTGCTCAGATCTGCATGGACATTCTCCTCTACAACACGAGATTCCACGGACTTGTCGCGAAAGCGTTCGAGAAGGATCGCGAAGCCTTCGACAACTGTCCACTCCGCTCGTTGATCGTAACGAACCAAACGGTATTGCAGTTCATGCGTAAATTCTTGTCTTCCCTTCCGTTGGGTACTGACGAATGAAAGGCTTTTCTTCCCTATGGTAGGGGCTATGTGATTGCCGCATTTCGCCCAACCGCAGCTTACGGTGATGTATGAATGGAATCGAGGAAAAAAACGGTGGTGAGAGAATGAAATAATAAGGGTTTTTTCTTGAATTCTCTTCGGGGTTCTGACTTCTACCTACTTGCGTTGGTGGTATTTCACTTTCTATGTTTTTTTCTCATTCGCTTCCTCTCTTGTTATTCTACAACGGAAGCTTGCTCGAGTTTACGGCGTATATTAATGACAACTCAACCCCCTCCAAAAATATTATTCCATATAGAAATTACTTCTACAAGCCCATCTTTGCTACCATTGTGACCTACATGTTGTATTGGATAACTCTTTTCTCCACATCTTTCTCTCTCCTTTACACACATGTACACCCAAAACTGTACGCACATCTGACCCTTAAACGGTACTGACAGATGAAGGTAATTCAAATATCATCGTCGTTTTTAGTTTCCATATATAGATATCCGTATACATATTCTTTTAGTTTATCTGGCGCGTAGTGTGTTTGCTGGGCAACGTAACGGAATTATGGAGCGGATACAATCGGCTTACGAAGGCTGGATTAACCTCCCCCAGCCAAAAAAGATGAGAATCCTGAGGTTTATCACCGCCATTTCTTTTTTCCTCTTTTTGTTCGTGTTGGTCATTTACCTTTTTAGCGAAACGCGACACATGTCGAAGCCGATTCAAAAGACGGTTATTTTCATGGAGCCCATGCCGTACAACCTGGAGGCAATCCGTTATTACGCGCAGCGTCGTGATGTTGAAATTTCAGCGATCGTCCTAACGCTTAGCGGGTGGGTTGGTAACCTGAATGCCGCGTACGAAAACGTCGCGTCGTTTTTGAAGTTGCTCTACAACGAGGGCTATAGCAAGCGGGTTCCGCTCTACTACGGTAACAGCGTCTCCGAGGCGGACTTTGATTTCTTTGAGCACTTCAACGCCTCCTCGGCGGAAGCCTCGAACACGACGGCGTGCACGTATCGTCGCCTCCTGCCCGATTCCCTCGCGTTTAACGCGGAGTTGATATTCGGGGTGAATGCCTACCTCCGCCAGATTGACGTCGGCGAAATGGCGATGCATCCCTCCTTCTTCGCGGAGCCGTTAAGGGCGTTTCTCGGCGAGAATGAGGCCTCCTTTTTAGTGCTTGGCCCCTGCACCGACGCGGCGTGGTTCCTGCGCGCCTTCGACGCCGCGCGCGCGAAGGTGACGAGCGTCGTGATCGCCGGCGGGAACTTCCTGGGAGAGGGGGATGTTCAACCGGTGATCGCGCGCGCGGCGAGGGTGGAGCGGAGCTTCTTTTTCGACCCCCGCGCCGCGGATTACCTCCTGCGCGGGGCCCA